CCCCCCCCCGACCACCCGGCCAACTGTCAACCCGGGCCCCTGATTTGACGGATGCCTGGAGAGAGGGGGTCCACCCCTGCTTGCGGAGGGGGCAACCTTCCCATCCCCCCTCCATTTCCTTCCACCTAGATGTCCAGCAACCGGCCGGTGGAAATTGTGGAAGATCCCCGGGTCGTCGGGATCTGGACCAAAAACAAGGAGCTGGAGCTCTCGGTGCCCAAATTCAAGGTGGAACCCTTTACCCCTGCCCGTGGTCTGTCCCCCCATCCCGGAGTTCGAAAATAACGCCAGTCCGGGCCCAGCCCAGCTGGATTCTAAGTTCCCGCCGTACAGGACCCGGGAAGTTTTGGCGGGGAGGGAAGAGAAGCGGTGTCCCCTCCAGGCCACTGGAAACAAAATAACTCTCGGAGAAACTGTAATCTGGGCCCTGATACAGTGTGCCCCGCCGCCGAGCTGGGGCCTCCGGGTCCCCACCTGGCTCCTACCCACCCAGCGGCCTGGCTGCGGACCCGCCCCCCTTCTCAGCCGGGTGGCTGTAGGGAACAACTTCCTGGCCCAAAGGGGTCACCCCTTGACCCTGCAGCCAGGAGAAGAGGCCAGAATGGGGGGTGGGGAAAGAGAAACTGTTTCTTTTTCCTCCTTCCTTCCGAACCCAGAGGACTTCCACGTTCCAAACGATTAAATCCTCAGTTTCCCGGGCCCGCCCGCGTGCATTTCCCCCCCCCCAAAAAAAAATCAAAAAAATTTTTACCCTTCATTGTTTTTAAACGGCTGGGCTGAGTAAGGGAATGTTATGTTTTTTTCCCTTCGGTTTCAATGTTTTCCAAACACCCTCCCCCCTTCGGGCCCCTGGCAGATCGATGAATTCTACGTGGGCCCGGTGCCTCCAAAGCAGGTGACATTTGCCAAGCTGAATGATAACATCCGAGAAAACTTCCTGCGGGACATGTGCAAGAAGTATGGGGAGGTGGAGGAGGTGGAGATTTTGTACAACCCCAAGACCAAGAAGCACCTGGGCATTGCCAAGGTGGTGTTTGCCACGGTCAGGGGTGCCAAGGAGGCTGTCCAGCACTTGCACTGCACGTCGGTCATGGGCAACATCATTCACGTGGAGCTGGACACCAAAGGTGAGTGGCCCAGGGGACAAGCTGCGGGCTTCCGGTCCCCCGGATCCCTTTCCTTCCCCGGGCCCAGCTGCAGGCTTGGCAGGGCCCCCTCACTCTTCCTCAAGAACCCCCTTAATCTTGTTTATTTTTCTGCCCCCTCCGGAGGGCAGAGTCACATGGAGCTAAATGTGTTGTCGGTTGCTAGGAAACAGGCTGTAATTTACCAAATGTGCTGGGTTCTTGCCCACAGCACCCCTAGGGACCACCCAGAGGCTTCCCCACTGCTGTCACCCCTTGGGTCCCTCCCGGAGCCCTGGTGGCCTGGGTTTAGACGGTCCCCAGTGCTGCTACCTGTGATAAGAGAAGAGGCAGAGTTTGTTTACTTGTGGGGGGCTGAAGGAGAGCCACTGGGGTACCTTTAAACACATAAAGAGGAGGTCGGTCCGGTCCCTCACCTAAGGAGAATGCTGTAAGGATGGGTTCCCCCCCAGTTGCCCCCTTCCCTGAACCAAGCCGGGCTGCTGAGTGGCTTGTGGATAACGCTCCCAACAGAGTCTAGGGGACAGGCTGCTCTGGGTGCTGGGGTTGACACTGTATTGTCCCTCCTCTCTCTTAAAGAGACCGTAGCACCTCCCTGCACCGAGTCGTGCCTTGCACAGCGAGGCTGGGGAGCCACACCTCCCACCCTCTGGGGCCTCAGACCCTCCCCTGGGAGCCGGCTGGAGGGACTTTAGGAACTGGGAGGGCATCCCCAAAGTGTGCCTGTGGCCTCGCTAAGAACTTCCCACCTACCCGGAAGAAGGTGCTGGGCGCTAGGGGACCAGGCACCCTTCTAGCTGACACTGTTGGGTTCAGAGCTGCTGGACCCCGGACCCTCTCTGGGAGGACTTAGGTGCAGCTCCAGGGTTTTCTGAGCACAAGCTTTGGGGACAGGGAACACACCAAGCCCAAGACAGGGATGTCTAAACTTTTGTTGGTCCTGTTTTGATTTTCACAACTGACACATACTGACATGGGTCCCCAAGACCAAGAAGGGTTTTGGGAATGGGTGTGGTGTCCAGTGGGCATATTTGTCCCCTGCTCCATGGCTGAGCCTCTACCTAGTGGTGTGTCTCCCCGGGGCACAAGCCTGTGGTTTCTGCCCAACCCACAGGCCCCACCCCCAGTTCCTCAATCTCTGGGGGGAGGGGTGAGCAGGCTTTGAAATCTGCCCACCCCCTTGGGTGGCTGCAGTCTGAAGTCCCCCTGAGAACTGAGTGTGTGGCCCTTCCCCCATCACGTGCCCACATCTTGGGCAGCCAGGTCTCACCGCAATTTCACTTCTGAAAAGAAAAAAGAAAAAAAAGGCCCTCGGAGACTGCTGCCTAAGTTTGTATTTCAAGAAAGAGACCAGCAAAGTGTAAAGTGTTGCTCAAGGAATGCGTCTCCTTTGCATATGTAAGCGGCTGCCCCTGGGGCTCTATAGAGGCTCTATAAATATCAATAATGCCTGGCCTGTGAAGACCTCTCTTCTGAGGCCCGAGGGTTTGCTGGGCCCAGAGGGACTCCTTGGGATTCGCCCAGGCCCCACACAGGCCCAGCCGACTTGGGGCTCTCCTAGATCATCTGCTGTCACAGCAGTATGCTACTGGAGTGCGAACTCCAAGGGTCACCTCTACTTCCCCAGACTTTCTCTGTCCTTGCTATGAACTCTGGCTGCCTGTTCAGTGGGAAGGTGAAGGGGGTGTTACCTGGCCTTTGGGGACCATAGCCCAGGAAGGGACTCTAAACGAGGGTGCAGTTTTGTATTGGGAGAGTCCCAGCCCCTCAAGGCATTAAACTCTAAATTTTGCGTTCGGAAATGTCAGGCACTTTTGTGTCTTTGGTACACAGATGAAGATACTGGGTGGAGAGCCGGGAGGGTAGGACCACTGAACAGAACACGGAGGGTGGGGATGTCAGGGGTCACAGACTTCCCCATGCCTGGGCTCAGGATGCCAAGCAGGTTGGAGTTCCCATGGGGTTGCCAGTCCTGGACTGTCACTGAGTCCCCCCTCTCCTGCCTATTCCAGGGGAAACTCGTATGCGCTTCTATGAACTGCTGGTCACCGGCCGATACACCCCTCAGACCCTCCCGGTGGGCGAGTTGGATGCCATCTCTCCACTCGTGAATGAGACCCTGCAGGTGGGTTGTCACCGTCACCTCCCCCATCACCAGCTCCCTCACGTGCCCCCCCCTTCAGCCTCCCCAGTGTCCAGATCAGCCCCTACCTGTCTATCAAAAGAAGGAATGAACTGCCACACCCCAAGCCTGCAGTCTCAGAGCTTTGTTTTCCCAAGATTTGCTCAGTGGCTCCCCTGGGACCCGCCTTGTTCCTGTGGCTTCTGGCCTACACAGAGGGGCCCTCCCGCAGCCCTCAGCACAGGCCTGCCTTCCACAGACCCCTCTTTTTCCACCTTGATGCTGGAACAGTGTTCTCTCCAGGGTTCTAGTGTCCAGTGTTGGGGCCCTCTGCATCTGCCCCTAGAAAGTGGGGTTCAGTCCCCCGACTCCTGAGCCCACACTACTGCCTCCTGGGACACTCGCCTGCCGACACAGGGCACCTTACCCAGGCTCCTCCCGACGCAGCCAGCCAGCCTCGGGAGTCGAGTCGTCTCCACTGCGTCAGCCTGCCTGCTGTCAGGCCCTCCTGTGTTGCACTGTTCAGATCCGGAGACTGTGGGGCTGGGCAGACAGAGCCTCAGCCATGCTCTCAATCCCCAGGTTTTAGTTCTCGCACCTGCCTCTGCCTGGCAGGTTTTGATGTCTGACAGCCCGAGGCCGGAAGGAAATCCCAGCTTCTACCAAGATGTCAGGATCTTCTCTTCCCTCTGGCTCTGGGATTAAGAAAAATCCTCAAAAGTTCCTGAAGATGCTCAGCTATCCTAGAGTAGAAAAATATTAAGACTGTCCCAAGATTCTATTTCCTTTACTTGTGCTGCAGAACAGTTTGCTCTGAGCTCCCTGGCTGCCAGAGTGAGAAGGGAAAGAGCCCCAATGCCTTGTGTGTTGGTCCCTGCTGCACCCAAGCTCTCACATCTCTGTCTCTCTCTAGCTGTCGGACGCCCTGAAGCGCCTCAAGGATGGCAGCCTGTCTGCAGGCTGTGGCTCTGGTTCCTCCTCAGTCACTCCCAACAGCAGTGGGACACCCTTCTCCCAGGACACAGCTTATTCCAGCTGCCGCCTGGACACACCCAACTCCTACGGACAGGGTACCCCGCTCACCCCGCTCACACCGCGCCTGGGTACCCCCTTCTCGCAAGATTCCAGCTACTCCAGCCGCCAGCCCACCCCCTCCTACCTCTTCAGCCAGGACCCCACCGCCACCTTCAAGGCTCGCCGCCACGAGAGCAAGTTTACAGACGCCTACAACCGCCGCCACGAGCACCATTACGTCCACAACTCTGCAGTGGCCGGGGGCGCAGCCACCTTCCGGGGCTCCTCGGACCTTCCGTTCGGGACCATGGGCAGCACCGGGAGCAGCAGCGCCCCTCCATTCAAGGTCCAGCCGCAGGACTCAGCCACCTTTGCGCACACTCCACCCCCCGCCCAGGCGGCCCCTGGCCCTGGCTTCAAGTCAGCCTTCTCCCCGTACCAGACCCCGGTGCCCCCGTTCCCGCCTCCCCCAGAGGAGCCTGCGCCCACCACAGCCTTCGGGGCCCGGGACAGTGGGGACTTTCGAAGGGCACCCGCACCCCCGCCGCTGCCTCCTGCCGAGCCTCTGGCCAAGGAGAAGCCGGGCACCCCCCCCGGGCCACCGCCCCCCGACAACAACAGCATGGAGCTGGGGGGCCAGCCGACCTTCGGCTGGAGTCCCGAGCCCTGTGACAGCCCTGGGACCCCCACGCTGGAGTCGTCGCCCGCGGGCCCCGAGAAGCCCCATGACAGCCTGGACTCGCGAATCGAGATGCTCTTGAAGGAACAGCGCACCAAGCTGCCCTTCCTGCGGGAGCAGGACTCGGACCCCGAGCTGCAGATGGAGGGCAGCCCCATCTCCTCCTCCTCCTCCCAGCTCTCCCCGCTTGCCCCCTTCGGCGCCAACTCCCAGCCTGGCTTCCGCGGCCCCTCGCCACCCACCTCGCCGCCCTCCAGCACGGGCCTGGAAGACATCAGCCCGACACCACTGCCGGACTCTGACGAGGATGATGAGCTGGGCCTGGGCCTGGGGCCTCGACCCCCACCTGAGCCGGGACCCCCGGACCCTTCCGCTCTTCTGGGCCAAATGCCTGAGGTGGCCTTGGACCTGGCTGGAGACAGGACCCCAACTTCAGAGAAGATGGATGAGGTACCACCGTGTCTTTCCATCTATCCGGGATTGATTTTGTCTGCTTGAGTTCCCCTATTGCCCCCTTGAAACATATAAGATAACTGGCTAAGACAGGAGCAACTGGGCCAGAGAAGCCAATAGAATAGTTGAGCTGACAGAGTAAAAGTAGGCTGCAAAAAAGCACCAGGGCTGGCATTGAATTGCTGGGATGGCTCTGAGCTCCCTAGCGGCCATGGAGAAAAGGAAAACATGGCTGAGAGAGTAAAAGTAGGCTGCAAAAAAGCACCAGGGGGACCGGGGATTTAGCTCAGTGGTTTCACTGCCTGCTGCGCAAGCGCAAGGACCAGAATTCGATCCCCAGTACCAAAAAAACACACACAAAAAGAAAAAGTATAAAAGTTTGGGCCGGGGATTTAGCTCAGTGGTTCCGGCGCCTGCCTTGCAAGCACAAGGTCCCAAGTTCAATCCCCAGTACCAAAAAAAAAAAAAAGAAAAAAGCACCAGGGCTGGCATTGAATTGCTGGGTTGGCTCTGAGCTCCCTAGTGGCCATGGAGAAAAGGAAAACATGGCCAAGGTCTGCTGCTCTCCATGTCAGTGGAGTCAAGACTTTTCTAAGACTTGAGCTTTTTTGGTGGAGTTTGCAAGACCACAGAGGGTCTGAGCTGTGGGTCTGATTCAGCCCCTTCCCTGCTGGGTGCCTTAGGAATGGTCAGGGCTGATTGTGGTGCTCAGGCAGACCTGGAAAGAGGGATTGGCCAGAGAACTGTACTCAGAGCTCAGTGCCCTTGAAGAGATGGCAGAGCCTGACAGCCAAGGCGCTAAAGTTTTCCCTCTGCTGCCAGGTTGTTTGGTGGCAGAGGTGGCAGGGGGAGCAGAAGCAGGCTGCTGATTGTCCTGCTTCCTTAACCTCTAAAGCTCTGGAGAGGGTCAGGAGTGGGTGGGTGGCTGGGGGGGGGGGTTCCCTTCCCTGGCCTCATGGCCCTTTGATGAGCCCGTTTCGTTGCCTCAGGGGGGAACAGAGAGTCCTAGTGCCTGCAGCCAGCAGCAGCTCAGGGAAGTAGTTTCTGGTGTTGGGGTACAGGCACGGGGAGCTGCCAGGAGTGCCGAGGTAGGGGGTGGCGCCGGTTTGCGGATGCTCACTGTGCCAAGAAGCCCCCTCCAGGCCATAGGGGAAGCCGAGGACCCAGAACTGTAGTTTGGAGCGCCCCTGTCCGAACCCCAGGACTCCTGAGTGGGGCTGAGCTCCAGGCTGGTCCTCGGAGCCCCCCTGCTGGCGGCCGGGAGAGCAGCACCCAGGCGCCTGGTGCTGCCTTGCCTGGGTCTGGGTGTCAGCGCTTTGACCTAGGCTGAGGTCGAGCAGGAGGGAGCGGCCTAGAGGGGACGAGAACTGGGGGGTTCTCATCTCCACAGGGGCCGGAGGTAAAAAGTGCAGGGTCCAGACCTTGAGCCTCAGCTGCCACTGCGGGGTTCTGTGTCCTCAGGGAAGGGACTTTCTCTCTGAGTCTCGGTTTCGTCACCTGTGGGACGGACAGCGAGAGGACCGGCCTCTCAGTCCCCGGCTCCTGCTGGTCCCACCCCTGCCGCCCAGGGAGGGGCTGTCGCGGCCGGGCCCTGCGATTGGCTGGCTGCTCGGCTGCATTAACCCTCTTTCTGCTGCGCAGCCGGCCAGGGCCACAGGAGCACTGGGGAGCTCTCCTGCCAGGCCTACCTGTTCCTCATATGCAGGGCTGACCTGAGAGGGACAGTGTGCGCATGCGTGGGTGTGTAAGGCACCTAGTAGAATCCGGAGCTTCCTGCTCCTTTTGTAGGTTTGGATTCCTCTTCTCCACCCACTCCCAAATTACCTCCGAGGCCCCCCTCAACTCCCCCTTGGCCTTCCAGGTGCTCCCTGCCTCTTCCACCTTGAGCTGTGGGCCTCAGGCCCTTTCCTCCTGGCTCCGCCCCACAGACCTAGGGCCTCCCTCTTGTCCCAACCCTGTCGAGCCAACTCCCCAAAGCCCCAGGTCCCAAATTAAAGTCCCAAGTCCCCAGAGCCCCAGGCCACGCTTGACTCCTCCCACCCCTCACCCCTTATCACCTTCTACATGCCAGCAGCAGCCCCTAGGGGGCAGATGTGTGTGGGGGGGAACACCCCAGCCCAGCTGGGGCTCTCTGGTTGGTTGGTTGGCTTCTGTTTATTTGTTTCCTTTTTTTTTTTTTTTTTGGTTTGGTTCTTTTTTGAGTCAGGGTCTCACTGTGTAGTTCAGGCTGGCCTTTAATTGTGGGGATCTTCTTGCCTCAGCTTTCCAAGTGCCGGGATGACAGGAATACGCCACCACACTTGGCTTCTGATTGTTTCTTCACCTGTCAGAGGAATCATAGTAGAGCTTCACTTTGGGGTGTGTGTGTGTGGGGGGGCTTTGAGCCTGGCCTTCTAAGTAGCATAGGCTGGCCTTGAACTTCCAATCCTCCTGTCTCAGCTTCTTAAGTGCAGGGATTACAAGGGAGGACCACCACACCTGGCAGGATCCTTGCTTGGTGAGGTCTTCTTGCAGATAAGAAACGAGACCCTGATGCCTGCAGCTCTCAGCCCCACAGTGCCCCTACTAAGTGTGCTGGCCGGGACTGTGGAAAGAGCCATTCGGGAAGAGCAAAACCTCAGCTCCTGAGGAGCCCTCACTCCCCACCCCCTGCCCCTGGCACCAGCCATCCTGGCCAGAGTGGGGACAGGCCGCTGAGCCGCTGGCTTCCTGGTGCTGTCCTTGCTGTCTTGGGTCCTGATTTCCTCGTTAGTGAGATGGAGGAAACGTGTGTCCTCTGCAGGCTGCTGGAAGGATTGGCTTAGTTGATGCATGTAGTCTCCTGGTGCACAGAAGAGTTGGCTCTGAGTATTCTCATCTGAGCTCCCATTAACGGAAGCTCTCAAACTGCAAATGAATGTGCTGACCCTGGGCTACCCCTTCCTTCCCCTCCTCTTTCTCTCTGCGATCTGCTACTACCATTTCCCATCTTCTTCTGGTTCTCCTTCCCCTCCTCCCCTTGAAGTTGAGTTCCAAGAGAGCAAGACTTGGTGTGTCTTGGTCACATGTGTCCCCAGTAGCTAGAACAGTGCCTGGCACACAGATGCTGAGCAAATGTTTGTTGAATAAATGCATAGATCCTCCTGGTAAGCCAGTGAGGCAGGGACTGCAATGCCCCTTATGAAACTGGAGAAACTGAGGCTTGGAGAGGCTCGGTGACGGAGAGACAGCCCAGGAGCTGGGAATCTACCTTGGTCTTTGTATTTTTTATTTTTATTCTTTGAGACAGGGTCTCGCTCTGAAGTTTAGGCTGGCCTTATCTCAAAGCAGTCCTCCTTCCTCAGCCTCCTGAGTGCTGGGATGACAGGCTTGCACCACCACACCCAGCTGCCTGAGTCCCTGCCTCTCAGATGCTCTGGGGACCCAGGGCCCCTCCGCCTCCTCTCCTTATGCTTGGTGCTGCTCTTTCCGCAGGGCCAGCAGTCCTCGGGTGAGGACATGGAGATCTCGGACGATGAGATGCCCTCAGCCCCCATCACCAGCGCCGACTGCCCCAAGCCCATGGTGGTGGCCCCTGGGGCAGCGGCCGTGGCAGCCCCCAACGTGCTGGCCCCAAGCCTGCCGCTGCCACCGCCCCCGGGCTTCCCGCCGCTGCCCCCGCCCCCGCCGCAGCCTGGCTTCCCCTTGCCGCCCCCCCTGCCCCCCCCGCCCCTGCCGGCACCGCCACCCGGTGTCCCTCCCCCGCCCATCCTGCCGCCGCTGCCACCCTTCCCGCCTGGACTGTTCCCCGTGATGCAGGTGGATGTGAGCCACGTGCTGGGCGGCCAGTGGGGCGGGATGCCCATGTCCTTCCAGATGCAGACGCAGATGCTCAGCCGGCTGATGACCGGCCAGGGTGCCTGTCCCTATCCGCCCTTCATGGCCGCTGCGGCCGCTGCCGCCTCCGCCGGGCTGCAGTTCGTCAACCTGCCACCCTACCGCGGCCCCTTCTCCCTGGGCAACAGTGGCCCTGGCCGCGGGCAGCACTGGCCACCCCTGCCCAAGTTCGACCCCTCAGTGCCACCCCCTGGCTATGTGCCGCGCCAGGAGGACCCGCACAAGGCCACGGTGGACGGCGTCCTGCTGGTGGTGCTCAAGGAGCTGAAGGCCATCATGAAGCGAGACCTGAACCGCAAGATGGTGGAGGTGGTGGCCTTCCGGGCCTTCGATGAGTGGTGGGACAAGAAGGAGCGGATGGCCAAGGTGAGTGGGGCAGGCAGGAGCCGGCCAGGCGCCCCAGTCCACGGGTGCTGCTCTCCCGGACACTGCTGCCCACTGTCGGTGACGGCGAGGAGGAGGCAGCAGCCTGAGGAGGTGCACCTCGGCCCGGGGCCCTGTCTCGGCAGGACTGAGCGCTCTTTTCCCTTTTCACAGAGAACTGGTCTCTTGCTTATCTTATAAGTAACCTAGGGCTCCTCTACGTGAGAAAGCACATCTCTCTTTTTTCTTGGTTTGAGGTGGGCTATTGCTCTGTTGTCCAGGGTCCAGGCTGGCCCCTGACTCCTTGGCTCAAGCAGCCCTCCTGCCTTTGCCTTCTGAGCAGCCAGCACCACAGCTGTGCCTGGCACCTTGAGTATTTTAAAGTCCCCTCTGTTCCGCTGTCCCCAGAGGTGACCAGGGTTATCAGTTTTGCATCCCCCAGCGTGCTTTGGGCGAAGCCACTGTGACTGGGGCCTTGCTCCCTGCGCACAGGTGGGCGACGCCTGTCAGCCCGTTCCCCATCTGTATAAGGGGACAATAAAACCCGAATGAGTCCTAAGGCACTCCTGCTGATTAAGTCAGCACTGCTGCTAATTAAGCCTGTCCTTCCAGATGAGCCGCAGGAACAGCTAATAGCGCTCCTCCTTAGTGAGTGTAAAGCGCCCCCTGCTGGAGGCTCTGCTCTAACCCACTCCCACGGCCGTTCTCGGAGTGTGCAGGGTCAGCCTCAGGGAAACAGTCTGGGTGCTGCTTGTGTGTGCTTGGGGGTGGCACTGAGGTGCACCCAGCCCTTTTTATCTCGTATTTTGAAACAGGGTCTCACTAAGTCACTAAGTTGCCTAGGCTGGGCTCAAACTCGAAATCCTCCTGCCTCAGCTTTCCAGAGGGCTGGGATGAGAGAGATGCACCATTGTGCTGGGCTTGTGGGTGCTGTTTTTACTGCAAAAGTAGGACAGCGCAACTCTTCCATGTGAGCCTTGGGCACAGATGTGTACCTAACAGCGCACGGACTGCTTTTGGAGAGCTGCTGTCCCTGTCGCTCGGGGAAGGCTGCCTGCAGGGGTGGCTGCTGCACTGTCACCATGACTGTCCCCCCAACAGGCCTCGCTGACCCCCGTGAAATCGGGCGAGCACAAGGACGAGGACAGGCCGAAGCCCAAAGACCGAATTGCCTCATGTCTGCTGGAGTCGTGGGGCAAGGGCGAGGGCCTGGGCTATGAGGGCCTGGGCCTGGGCATCGGGCTGCGCGGTGCCATCCGCCTGCCCTCCTTCAAGGTCAAGCGGAAGGAGCCACCGGACGCAGCCACGTCCGGCGACCAGAAGCGGCTGCGGCCCTCGACCTCAGTGGATGAGGACGATGAAGGTGCGAGCCTAGCCTGGCCCTTGCCGCGTCTGCTCCCTCTGCCCGGCGCAGCTCACTGTCCTTTCCCCGCAGAGTCCGAGCGGGAGCGCGACCGCGACACGGCCGACGTCCCCTGTGAGCTGGCCAAGCGGGACCCCAAGGCCGTGGGTGTGCGGCGACGGCCGGCTCGGCCCCTGGAGCTGGACAGTGGCGGGGAGGAGGACGAGAAGGAGTCCTCGTCGGTGTCCTCATCGTCATCGGCGTCCTCCACCTCCGGGTCTTCCACCTCCTCGCCCTCATCCTCGGCGTCCGACAAGGAGGAGGGGCGGGAGAGCACGGAGGAGGAGGAGGAGGAGGAGGAGGAGGAGGAGGAGGAGGAGGAGGAGGAGGAAGCCGAGGAGAGGGAGGCGGAGCGGGGCCCCAGGAGCCAAGTGTCGTCCTCCTCCTCCACCTCGCCCCAGTCGGAGAAGGTGCGGAGCGGGCGGCCAGGGGTGCTGGGCCGGCTGGCAGGGCGGCCTTCAGCTCACGGGTCCCACTGTGCCCGTTCACAGGGTGACGGTGAAGACAGCGATGAGCAGGAAGAGTCTGAGAACGACGAGGAAGGCGACACTGCACTGTCAGAGGCGAGTGAGAAGGACGAGGGGGACTCGGATGCAGGTGAGCAGGGCCCAGGCAGGGCGGGAGCGACAGGCGGGACACTTGGCATTCAAAGGATGGCCAGGGTGGCTGCTTCCTTCCGTGGAGACGGAGCAGATGGGAGGGTGCCTGGGGCCGGGCCAGTGGGTTAGAGGGGCTGCTGAGGGCTGGAACGAGGCAGGCAGTAAGAACGTACCAAACGCCACCAGAATTGTTCCCCTTAATGTGAACATCATGGCCAGGTGTGGTGGTGCACAGTTGTAATCCCAGCACTTGGGAGGCTGAGGCAGGAGGATCACAGGTTCAAGGCCAGCCTGTGCAGCTTAGTGAGACATGGTCTCAAACTGAAAAATAAAAAAGGGCTGAGGAGGTAGCTCAGGGTGAAGGTCCTAGGTCAGTGGTGGCGAACCTTTGGCACCGTGCTGCAACAGGCTGTTACTACCATTGTGCCAGAGAAGAGAGGAAGGAGAAGCCAGTTAACACTTGCCACAGGCCCCTACTCTGTCCAGGGGCTGTGCTCAGCCAGGTCCCCCAGTGTGACGTTCTGGGGAGGCATCGGGTGTGGGCCTGGGCCCCCAGATGGTGACTAGCTCCTTGCTGTGTCCCAAAATCCAGAGGAGACAGTAAGCACCGTCACGTCCAAGGCCGATGCCGAGTCATCCAGCGAGAGTTCCGAGTCTTCAGAGTTTGGGTCCAGCTCTGAGTCCTCCTCTGAGTCCTCAGAGGATGAGCAGGAGATGGCAGCGGAGGAAGAGGAGGAGGAGGAGGAAGAGGAGGTGGTGGCAGCAGTGGCAGCAGTGGCAGAGGAGATCACGCCTCCTGCAGGTGCTGAGGACGCTGAGCCCAGCAGGGAGGAGGCCACACTGGCCCCAGGCGGACCTGGCACAAAGTCGCTGGTCACAGAAGAAGAGGGGGACCTTGAGGCTGAGTTCACAGCCCCGGGGGAGCGGACCCCCATCCAGGAGGAACCCCCTGTGCCTGTGGCTGCTGAGGAGCTAGTGGGGCCTAAGGAGCCCCCTGAAGAGCCAGGCCCAAACCAGGAAGCAAACATGTTGATCTCACCAGAGCCCCCTTCCAACGAGGCAGAGGTGCCGCTTCCCACATCCCCGGAACGAGTTCCAGGTACGGCTGTGACCTTTGAGGGGAGTGGATGGGCGGGTGCCTCGCTGTCAGAAGCAGGTTCCCCTGAACTGGCACCCGTGGCGTGCACCTTGCTTGTCCATTGAGCTGGTACTGAGCCCGGCCTTGGGATTTGAGCCACAGGGACCGGGGCTCCCAGGAGATGTTTACGAAGTGGGGGGTAGCATTGCGGTCATTTAGTAACAGTCAAGGGGGCCACTTTGGGGTGCCAGGTGAGGGGAGAGGGGCCCTGGGCTCCAGGCCCCCACCGCCCTGCCCCAGCTGCACAGAGCCAGGGATGCCTCCAACGGTGCCTTCGGCAGAGCTTCCTGGTGACAGATGTGTCCTCGTGCTGTCCGGTACTCTGGCTGCCAGACACCATGTTGCCACTGAGCTCCTGAAGTGTAGCCAGAGCCATGGGGACCAAGTTCATTTTAACTTAGGCAGCCAGGTGTGGCTCTACCCGCTTTTCCTAAGTCCTTCAAGAGAAAAAGCCAGTACATTTTGTTTATTGTATTTTGTTTTATTCCTTTGGCCACAGATCTTTGAATAGTAACTCAGTATTAAGGTTCTGTTGGTCCCCAGTACTATTTTAGGTGTGAACAATACAGCAGTAGACGAAGCAGACAAAAAATAACTGTCCTTATGAAGCTTATACACAGTGAGGGCTGAGCGTGGTGGTGTACACCTATAATCCCAGCCCTCGGGAGGCTGAGGCTGGAAGATGGGCTAGAGTTCAGTGCCAGCCTGGGCTACATAGTGAGTTCAAGGCCAGCCTGAATACCACTGAGATCCTGTCAGAGAAAAAACAAAACAAAAATCAAAAGAAAAAAAAACAGAGAAAGGCTGATAACCTTGTTTCTTGTGTCCTTGCTTTACCCACCGACATTCATGAGGCACTGCAGTGTGCCTGAGTCCTGGTGGTGCTGAGTGCTTGGGTTACCTGGGGCCAGTGTCCGTCCTCACAGAAGCGGGGTCAGGTGCAGAGCACAGAGTAGGGCACCAATCCAAGGCGCCGTGAGTTGGCACCTAGTAACCCGGACTGTTCTCACCCACCTCTGCAGGGCAAGACCTGGGAGCGGAGCCCGAGCCCCCGTCAGTGCCGTCCCTGCCCCCACAGCCGCCCTTGCCGCCCCCCCAGCCGCCCCGGCCCCCCAGCCCTCCCCCAGAACCGGAGCTCCCGGAGCCCCCGCCCGAGGACCCACCCCCCCGGACTCCAGGCCTCTGTGGCAGCCTAGGCAAGTCACAGAGCACAGAGACGATGCCGGCCACCCCCAGTGGGGAGCCCCCGCTCTCGGGGGGCAGCAGCAACCTGTCCCTGAGCTCCCCGCAGGTGCCCGGCAGCCCCTTCTCCTACCCATCCCAGTCCCCCAGCTTGGGCAGCGGAGGACTACCCCGGACACCTGGCAGGGACTTCAGCTTCACGCCCACCTTCCCCGAGCCCAGCGGGCCTCTGCTGCTCCCCGTCTGTACCCTACCCGCTGGGCGGCGTGAGGAGCGCCCCCTGGCCTCCCCGGTGCTCCTGGACACGGGCCTGCCGCTGCCCCTGCCCCTGCCCCTGCCGCTGCCCCTGGCACTGCCCGTCCCTGTCCTGAGGGCCCAGGCTCGGGCCCCTGGGCAGCTGCCTCCCCTGCTTCCGGCCCCTCTGGCCCCCTGCCCACCCCCCATCAAGAGGAAGCCAGGCCGGCCCCGGCGGTCCCCACCGTCGATGCTGTCCCTGGATGGGTCCCTGGTCCGGCCACCCACAGGGGTACCCCTTGGGAGGGAGCTCCTGCTCCTGCCAAGCCAGCCGCAGACCCCCATCTTCCCCAGCGCCCACGATCCCCGGGCGGTGACCCTGGACTTTCGGAACGCGGGGATCCCAGCCCCCCCGCCCCTGCCCCCCCAGCCACCGCCTCCCCCGCCTCCACCGCCCACTGAGCCTGCCAAGCTGCCCTTCAAGGAGCTGGACAACCAGTGGCCCTCCGAGGCCATCCCTCCAGGCCTCCGTGGGCGCGACGAAGTCACCGAGGAGTACATGGAGCTAGCCAAGGCACGGGGCCCATGGCGCCGGCCCCCGAAGAAGCGGCACGAGGACCTAGTGGCCCCCTCGGCCTCCCCTGAGCTCTCGCCATCCCAGCCCCTGTTCCGGCCCCGCTCGGAGTTTGAGGAGATGACCATCCTGTACGACATCTGGAACGGTGGCATTGACGAGGAGGACATCCGCTTCCTGTGTGTCACCTATGAGCGGCTGCTGCAGCAGGACAATGGCATGGACTGGCTCAACGACACGCTCTGGGTCTACCACCCCTATATCCTGCCAGACGTGGGTCCTCACCCTCTAGCATTCAGGCAGTCTTCACCTGCCTTCGGCCCGTGTCCCAGTCTATAGCTGTCCACGTGCCATGAGGGCAGTCTCAGTGGCCACTGTCACCTACTAACCGGTGTTGCTGCGGTGCTTTGCCAGGCTCTGAGCTGAGTTGCCACTGGCACTTGTAAACACTGCGCCAGGCCCGTCTCATCCTGGAGTTAGCAGACTCAGTAGCCCTGTGAGATGGGAACATTAGGATTCCCTCTTTTTTCCCTCGGTACCTAAAGGCAGGCGCGTCACCACTGAGCTACATCCCTGGTCCAGGATTCCCATTTTACATAGGAAGAAACTGAGATGAGACTCAGGGAGGTTAAATGACCTGCCCAAACTCATAGCTCCAAAGTGGCATAGCTGAGATTCGAACCCAGACAAGTCTGGCTGTAGAATCTGGGTGGTTACCCACCAAGCACCCTCAGGTTGAAGCCAGCGCCATCCCCATTATAGCAAAGCAATTTATGGGGCATTTAGCACCTCCCAGGACCTCTGCGAAGTGCCCCAGGTGTATTCCGTCAGTGAAAGAGGCAGCATTGTCCATTGCAGCCCAGTGTCCAGGTGGGAGACTGAGGCAGAAAGTGGTCAGTAAGCTTGCCCCAGGCCATGCAGCTGGTTACTGCGCATGGGCAGGATTGGCCAGTGGGCAGCCGCATGGAGGTGGCATAGCAGCGGGTGGGCACTGGGCACTGGCACCCCTGGAGACAGGTCTGAGGGTGGGGAGGGTGTCCGCAGCACCAGGGCTCCTCTGAGAATGTCCAAGTGGCCCTTGACGCCCGCCCACCCACCAGCCTCTCTTCTGCTAAGAAAAAGAAACGGGACGATGGCATCCGGGAGCATGTGACGGGCTGTGCCCGCAGTGAGGGCTTCTACACCATCGACAAGAAGGACAAGCTCAGATACCTCAACAGCAGCCGCGCCAGCACCGATGAGCCTCCTGCGGACACCCAGGTGTGTGGCTGGCGGAGTCCCAGTGGCCTGGGCAGGGCCCAGCAGCCGAGGAAGCGAGGCTTCCAGGGCATTGTTTTGTTTTTGTTTTTGTTTTCCACAAACATCTATGGAGTACCTGGTGTGCACCAGGCCTTGTTTTGTTCAGGGCCTGCGGTAGTGAGCAGAGTAGTTTTCCTTGGGGAACCCACATAGTGGGGTGGGAAACAGACAATCAAAGTGAGCAAATAAGCAGGTCACTCAAGGGGGCTCAGTTGCCGCAGAGAAAATAGTCAGGAGGGGCAATTCGGAAGGGCTGAAGGGAAGCAGGCGCCAGGGGGAAAGTAGGGAGCATGAGCCACCGGATGCCCTGGAGAGACCAGGAGAAACAGAAAAGGGCCTCAGGTAAGTGAAGGCAGGCTGGGTGTGGTGGCTCATGCTGTAATCCCAGCAGTTGGGAGGCTGAGGCAGGAGGATCCAGGAGGGCAGGGGATTTAGCTCAGTGGTCCCAGGCCTGCCTCGAAAGCCCAAGGTCCCGAGTTGATCCTGGTACCAAAACAAAACAAAACCAAACAAACAAGATAATCACTTCTCTGCCTTTTGGCTAAGATCAAGTGTAGGAGGATCAGGAGCTCCATGCCTGACTCAAAAAACCAAACAAACAAAAAGTTCAGGCAGAAGAGGGCTTCTCAAATCCAGTAGAGTAGTTCATGTTCAAAGAAAGCATCCTGAGCCAGGGCCCTGGGGCAGGGGAGTGGGGGTTCAGTGGGTCGAGATAGGAAGAGCAGTCCAGTCTAGAGGCAGAGGAAGGGTTGAGGTTCCTGGGGCCAGGGTGATGAGGTGACCTGGCGGTGGTGTTTGCTAGTTTTTCGCTGTCACTTAGTTGTCCAGGCTGGGCTTGAACTTGTGATCCTCCACCTCCCAGAGTGCTGGGATTGTGAGTGCGCCCCCACCCCGGGCTGACACCAGCCTGGGGAGGGCAAGGGGTTGAGCTGTGATTTTCCAAGCTCAGCCGGCAGCGAGTGGAGTTGACCGAAAGGGTCTAGAGGGGTGAACGACACAGTTGCTGGGGTCTTCAGGCCAGCCCCGGCAGTAGGTTGGACTTAGGTGGCCGGGAGAGGGAAAGTGGGTTGTGAAAGGACATTAAAACGCTGGGACTCTGCCTGGCCAGCCCTGGGGACCAAGGGAAGTACAGAGGCTGCAGAGGGCGAGAGAGGAAAGGCCGGCGTGTGGGGGAAGGGAAGGACCCGAGGTCTCCCGGGGAGTTGGGGAGTTGAGGTTGACACCACCGCTGCAGATGTTTAGCTAGGGAAAGTGCGCTGTGCGCTGCCCAAGGAAAAAGCTGGGGTGTGTTGGCTGCAGATGGGAAGGAGGAAGCGGAGAAGCCACGCTGGTTAGGGAGGGACAGGCCAGGGTGCCCAGAGCCCCGGCGGCTGCATCCTCTGCCTGACCCCGGCACCACCCCCTCTGGCTCCAGGGCATGAGCATCCCTGCACAGCCCCACGCCTCCACCCGGGCCGGCTCTGAGCGCCGTTCGGAGCAGCGCCGCCTGCTGTCCTCCTTCACTGGCAGCTGTGACAGCGACCTGCTCAAGTTTAACCAGCTCAAGGTGAGGCCAGCCCCTGCCGGGGCAGCTAGGGCGGCAGGGGGACCTGAGACGAGGCCTCACCCCTCCCGCCTCCCCTCCCACAGTTCCGGAAGAAAAAGCTTAAATTCTGCAAGAGCCACATTCACGACTGGGGCCTGTTTGCCATGGAGCCCATCGCGGCTGACGAGATGGTTATTGAGTACGTGGGCCAGAACATCCGTCAGGTAGGCGCTGCCCAGCCCCCAGGGTGGGCCGGGACGGGCTCAGGGCCAGCCCTGACTGACGCTGTCCTCTGGGGCCAGGTGATCGCAGACATGCGGGAGAAACGGTATGAGGACGAGGGCATCGGTAGCAGCTACATGTTCCGGGTCGACCACGACACCATCATCGATGCCACCAAGTGCGGCAACTTCGCACGCTTCATTAACCACAGCTGCAACGTGAGTGTGCAGAGAGGGGCGGCCACACCCACTTCTGCAAGGGTCCGCAGCCTTGAGCCCCAGGCAGCCTCCTTCCCTGGCTTGGGTTCCCTGGGGGTGACAGGAAGGACATGAAGGCCATATAAGGAGCCCTTCTCAGCTGGCCAGGTGGTGCATGCCTGTAATCCCAGTACTCAGGAGGCTGAGGCAGGAGGATCTTCAGAGTTTGAGGCCAGCCTGAGCTACATAATGAGACCCTGCCTCAAACAACCAATAAAACACAAAAAAGGAGCCTTTGTCCTATGAGCTCCAGGGTCTGCTCTGCAAAACGAGCTCCGTCAGCCCCGATGAGGATTAAAGGTGTTGGGAAATCGCTAGTGGTGACCCAGCAGAGCTGTCCCAGGGTGGTGGCGTCCTCATTACCTGGAGTGGCCACCTACGTTGTTAGCCCTTGAGACGAGACCATTGTGACCACAGAGCGGAGTTGGCCTTGTACGTAGGAGTCCTTATGGGACGGCCTCTCCAGGTCCCCAGTGTGTCAGCTCCCGATTGTGCCCCATTGCTTTCCGCAGAGGGACTGGTGGAAACTTCCTGTGGTCAGCAATGTCTGAGATCTGCTGGACCAGAGGGCATAGCTGCGTGGCCTGGGGAGTGGGCAGTGTTGTAGCCAAAGGAAAAGGTGTGATCAAAGGCCCTGGAGCAGCAGGGAGGACGTCGGGTTAAAAGACAGCAAGGGGCAGTGGGGCGGGATAGGGCCCACTGGGGTGGCCAGCTGCAGCTGAAGCAGCCCTGGGTTCCTGTCCCAGCCTGTCAGAAGGGGGAGTCGTGGGGTGATGGAGCCGCTGTCCCTCGGGAAAGCTGTCCCTGGGTCGGGACCAGGGCCTGGAAAGGGCCAGATGGTTGGTGCACGCTTGGGTTTGTGCCCAGGTGGTCTCTGTGGCAGCCAATTAACTGCAGCTGTGCCAGCCACGGGTGCACACCTGTCGTCCCAGCACTCTGGGAGGCTGAGGCAGGAGGATGGCAAGTTCAAACCCAGCCTGGGCAGTTTAGTCACATATTGAGATCCTGTTTCAAAATAAAAAAAGGCTAGGGATGTAGCTCAGAGGCAAGGCCCTGGGTTCAGTCCCCAGTACTGCAAAAAAAACTAGCCAAACAAACCAACAAAAAAACACCTCTATAGTGGTCAAGAAAGCAGTCACAGGGTGTGCTGGTGAATGGAGTGGAGTAGGTGAGTGGCTGTGTCCGGGTACCAATAAAACTTTCTTTATAGAAGTAGCGTGGCACATGCCTGTCATCTCAGCACTTTGGGAGGTCGAGGCAGGAGGATCCCAAGGTCAAGTCCCACCTGGGTAACTTAGCAAGACCTTGTCTCAGAAAATGAGAAGGGGGTAGAGCTGGAGGGAGGTGGCAGAGTCCCCCTGTACAGAATAAAACAGAGGCAGCTGGAGGCTGCAATTTACTGACCCCACGTCTAGCTCTCAGAAGTGAGGCCTGGGGTAGAAATATAATTTGGGGATTCACCTGAATGGAAGCAGAAGACCTGGGAAATTATTATCATTGCTTTTTTTTCCCTTCAGTACTAAGGATTGAATCCAGGGGGTTTGCGCTGTGCTGCATCCATTATTATTTTGAGACGGGGTCTGTGTGCTCACTTGGGCAGCGCCCAAATTGAGATAGTCCAGGCTGGGCTCACACTTAGCACCCTCCTGCCTCAGCCTCCAGGAGTGCTGGGATCACAGGAGTGCACCACCACTGCACCTGGCCTGCTCACTGTCATCCTTGGCGAATGTCAGCGGTCCTTGTCTCGCACGTGGGGTCGTGAGTCAGGCCCGGAGTGCACAGCCTGGCCCGGGAGGGCTGGGTGCTGCCTTAGGGTTCACCACCCTGCCCGCCTGCCGCCCACAGCCCAACTGCTACGCCAAGGTGATCACAGTGGAGTCCCAGAAGAAAATTGTCATCTACTCCAAGCAGCACATCAACGTCAATGAGGAGATCACCTACGACTACAAGTTCCCAATCGAGGATGTGAAGATCCCCTGCCTCTGCGGCTCCGAGAACTGCCGGGGGACCCTCAACTAGGCCGCGATGCCAACCCCCATTTCAGGTGCTGTCCCTTGCCCCTCTGGCCACCGCAGGGCTTGGCGCCCAACACTACCCAGGCCCCGCCCACGGCGCCCATCCGCATCGGAAAGGGCTTCTGTCTCTCGCCTGTGTCCCTTCCATTTTTAAAAAAATGCTCCTTTCAGGACTTGTGTTCGGCTCTGCCACAAACTTCCGTCTACGTCTGGCCCTCCGTGCCTCCCACCCCCTTGTCCTCCTGTCTCTTCCCGTGGATGCTGCTATGTCGTGTGTCCTTTCCTCGTCTCCTTCCTCGTCTAAGAAAAGACATTTTAACCGTTGAAATGTGAAGGCAGAATCGGAGAGGGAACCCGGCGGGGCTGCAGAGGCCTCTTGGGGCTGTGTCCTGCTGGGCCACCCCAGGGCTGGACGGGGCGGGAGCGGGCAGGTACTGCGGCCTCCACCTCTCGACTCCATCCCGAGGACCCGCGAGGACACCACACCTTCCCCGGTGGCCAGACCCCACCCCCCCCACCCCCCCTAAATCCTTGGATTCCATGTTTACTTTCTCATTCGGATGCCAGCAACGAGGGAGCCCGGGGATCCCAGTGTGGGTGGGGCGCTGGGGCAGCTGTCCCCCATCTCTGCTGCCCTCGCCGGCAGGGCCCAGGGCTCCCAGGGCAGGCGGGTCCCCCAGCCCCGCCGTACGGGTTGCCTGACCGCACATGTGGCAGTTTTGTTTATAAGCTTCCTGCTCACCCCCCCACCGGCAGCCCCTACCCCAGAGCTCTGCTAGAGTATATTTATTTTCGGAGTGAGCAGCTTATTTCTCCCAGAGAAAGGAAAATCTTGCAGAAGATTTTAAAACTCAGATCTAAGTCTTTGACAGTTCTTTTTCTCCCTTTCTTCCCCTCTCATCCTTTTCAGAGTTTATTTCCGCGAATTTATTTTTTCTTGTGCGTGTATAAAGTCAAATCGAAGGGAAAAAAATAGGTTTTTGAAGTTCAGAACCAACTTCTGTATATAGATGGCCATAAAGGACTTTTCTTGGGAACATTGTTTCTTGTAGAAACATGTGGGAAGACTTTTTTGCTCATTTCTTTGTACTTCCAAAAAAAAAAAGAGAAGACACACAAAAGCAAGTCCCCCTCCCTGAAAGCAGAGCAGGCATGTACATAATTTCCGGAACGAGACTGTTGAGACCCGGGTCCTCACCAAGATGCGACCGTGCCCACCCCGCAGACGGCAGCGCCTCTGGTATCTCAGCTTGTGTCAAGCTTGTTATCATGTAAATTCTGTACAAAGAATTGTTATTTTTCTCTTTTTTGTTGTTGGTGGTTTTGTTGTGTTTTTGTTTTTGTTTTTTAATTTTTTTCCCCTCAGGCCCTCTCTGTTTGGAACTGAGCCCTGGGATTTCAAGGTCAAGGAAATCGGGGGCCCTAAGATAGAGGGGTACCTGGGCACAGCGGCGACCTTCTCTTCCAATTGCAGTTTTCTGCCTAATTGTGCAACCAAGGAAATACTTATTTTTTATACGAGGAAGTGGTGTAGTCTGTAGAGGCGGCTGATTTAAGTTATTTGTGCAGCCCCCAAGGGGCTGTCTTTATTCTGTCCCCCATTGAAGACGTGGGGGACAACGCGAGGAAACCAGGAGAGCCCACCGGAGCCCTCCCCGGCCACAAAGCCTGCATCACCCTGGCTGGCCTGGGGCCCCTTCCCAAGTCCTCGAGCACCCCCGGCGTGGTTTGCAAGAACCCACATATGTGTTGGCCCATTTTCCCCTCAGAGCCTTTGTTTGCATTGAACAAATCTCTACTTTTGAAGTGTCGGGGGTTCCTTTTTGCTTTTCTTCTTTTTCCTTTTCCCTCTTTCCCTTGCTCTGCAAAGAAGAGAACGGATAAACTCTAGGGCTGTTTGTGCTTAGACTCTGCCATCCGTATGTAACTTGTTTTGAAGAGAAGTGTTTCCGTTGTGGGTGTGTCTTGCTGTAAATATTTGTTCATATTTTTGTGAATTCAATACTATGTACCATTGTATTATAGTAACTTTTATAAAGCAAACCATAAATATACTGACTTTTCTTACAGATACGCCGTCTCCCTTGCTCGCCTCTCTCCCTCTCCTTCTGACTTTCTTTCTGTTGAGTGTGGACCCGGCTCACCAGGAGGTGGGTAGACCCTGGATCTCACACTTTGCCTGAAGGCGGAGTCTGTGAACCTTACAACCTTAGCAATCCAGTTAGGAAGACCAGTTACCCTGTTACCATCGCTAGAACTTGATTCCTCACAAATGTTTAACAGTAGCCAGGCCAGGTGTCCTATGCCTGTAATCACAGCACTCTGGGAGGCTGAGGCAGGAGCACCGAAAGTTGAGCCCATCCTAAGCAATTTAGCGAGACCCTGTCTCAAAAGATGAAAACAGGGCTTGGGATGTAGCTCAGTGCAAAGGCCCTGGGTTCAGTCCCTCGTGTTGGGAAAAAGTTGAACACTGGTCTACGTTTGACAGGAAGAAGTCTGATGCAGCAGTCACAGGTTGGATAGAATTCAGTACATCTAGGGTTGATGGCACTGCAGGGGGAGCTGGTCTCTGTGAGGTCTGTTCTGCCTGACAAGGGGTCATGGTGAGGTTGTTAGACGACAGTGTCCAAGAGGGACAGACACGAAGTCTTGGCAGCAAGCAACACGCCTGGAGGATGCCGGGCCTGCCCCTCTTCCGCAGCAACATGAATGACACCACAAGACCGTTTTTCCCAGAAAACTGCCCAGCACCAAAAGTTACAAAATACTCAGTGTTGGTGGGCAGGAGGCCAGGCAAAGTGGAAGTGCCGCAACCTTTAGGGGGGAAGATTAGATATTGACAAGCAAGTGTTGAAAATGCATAAGCCAAGTGTAGTGGCACATGCCCGTAATCCTAGCACTTGGGAGGCTGAGGCAAGAGGATTGCTGCAAGTTTGAGGCCAGCCAGGGCTCCAATAGTGAGTTCAAGACCAGCCTAAACTTCATAGTGAGATCCTATCTCAACCAATGAATCAATCCATCAATCATAAAAATGCACCAAAACCCTTGGCCCAAATTTCCTGTCCAGAATTGAGCCCAACAGTCATAAGGGATGGTGTATAAGGGTGTTCTTTGCAGCTGCCTTGGTCAGAGCACTAAAATGAAGGCAAAGGGATGTTAGTTGTGGGCTGGTTCTAGAGATTGTGTATCCAGAGGGATCCTACTGTGGATGGATTCATGGGCAAAGAGAAAGCTGGGGTTGGTCCTGAGCCAGGAAAAAGAAGGTACCTCTGAGACATTCATTGTTCAACCTGTATTTTATTTTTTTATATATAGGGACTTTGCCATGTAGTTCAGGCTGGCCTTGAATTCATTATGCATGCAACCCAGGCTGGCCTTGAACTCACAGGGATTCTCCTGTCTCAGCCTCCCGAGTGCTGGGATTACACTTGATTTTAGCCAAAAGGCTGAGTGCTGGGATTATAGGCATTGCACCAGCGTGCCTAGGCCTAGTTTCCACCAATATCGCCCCGCCCTGCCCCGCCCTGCCCCAGTATGTGAAGAATAAATGCTACTGTAAGAGTTAAGAGTGGCCCCTGGGGAGGGGGTGTGAAATTTGAAATGGAGTGGACAGGGAAGTCTGCTGGGTTGACAGTTGAACAAAGCTTAGAAGGAAAACACACCAGCCCTGTGGAGATCTGCAAAAAGGGTCCAGGGAGGAGGAACTGCTGTGCAAAGGCCCCGTGGCAGCTAGAGCAAGGGGGCCTGGTGGCTGCAGTGGGTTGGGGAAGGGGAGGAAAAACAGTCGCCCCCCCAGGGGGCTGAGGGACCTGAGTGGTGCTGGGGAAGGCAGGTGACAGCTCTGAGAGGCAGGGTCCTGGAATTTATGTGTAGTGGCCCAACTTTCTAAAATAGCCACTTGTTTGCTTGCAGGCAAAATAAAATACATGTGCGAGCCAGGTTTGGTGCAGAAGCCACCGATTTGCAACTTCTGGGTTATAGAATTTCCCTTTGCATGTGGGGTGGGGCACACAGGACCCTGGTAGAAGAGTTTTGCATGGGTCCAGACCTTCTCCTCCTCTCAGGATTCCAGAAACCGTGACTTTTCCTCCTCTAATCTGGACAAGAAAATGCCGATCCCCTCAGAATTCCCACTCAGATAGTTCTGGCGCCCTGTGGTCCACCTGCTCCTGGTTCTGAGCTGACCCGTGGGGAAGGGGTAGCGAGCATTTAAAGCAGAAAAACAGACGAAAGTCGCCCCATCCTCTCCTCTCAAACCCCAGCGATTTGTGTTTGTTCTGTCTTGGGGTGGAACTCAGGGCCTGCAGCTCGCCAAGTGCACTACCAGTGAGCTTCAGTCACTCGTCTCTGCTTCTGAAGAAATCACTTTCTTCCAAGGGGTTTGAGATCAGCTATCTCCTCCCAGATGCCTCATCCTGTTTGTTTGTCTGTTTTGAGACAGGGTCTCGCCATGTAGTTCAGGCCAGTGAACTCACTATGTAGCTCAGGGTGACTTCAAATTTGTGGTGATCCTCCTGCCTCAGGCTCCCAAGTGCTGGGATTACAGGGGTGCGCCACACCCGGCTTCTCATGACTTGTTTCCTTTTCGGCATTTACAATGAAACGGTATTGACTGTCCTTTCCTCTAGACCAGAAGTCTCCTGTCCCCCCTGTTCCAGAAATGCCCCTGGCACCCGCCCCTGCTCGGTCACGCAGGGCGTGGGGAACCCTTAACTCCGGCGCGAGCTCTGAGCTCCCCCTGGCGGCTAACGGCCGCCACTGCTCCTCGCCGGGAACAGACACCAGACAAGAGACCCCGCCTCGTTCCCAGGCCTCTTTACTTGGAAGGGAGGAGCGAGGATGAGGGCCTCCGCGAGGGGGCGTGGCCACAAGACGGGAGTGGCCGGTGGGAGAGGGCGGGGGCGTGGTCTGTGGTGGGCGGGGCCTACACGCCAGACACCACTCCATTGGTCTCCGTATCAGTGAGGTTGCCCCGCAGGTCCTGCTCCGCCTCGAAAGCCTTGAATAGTGCATTGAAGTTGCCGGCTCCGAAGCCCTGCAGCGGGGAGGGCAGGTGAGCTGGAACCCGAAGAATCTCCCCTGCCACCGAGGGACCGTGCTGGGTGGGCCTACCTGGTGGTTGTGGCGCTGGATGACCTCCAGGAAGAGCGTGGGCCTGTCCTGCACGGGCTTGGTGAACACCTGCAGGAGGTAGCCCTTCTCGTCGTAGTCCACCAGGATCTTCAGCTCCTGCGACAGAGGGGGCTCCTCAGCTGGGCCGCCCACCCCCCGGCCTGGCTGGGCGGGACCCAGAGCCAGGAAAAGCCCCCTGTGTCGAGCTCCAGCCACCTCCAGATTTGTGCCCACAAAACTCAGGCCTAAGAGACCGCCTTACTCTTTGATCTTGGCTGGACGCTCCGGGCTCCCCTCTGACCTTAAATAAGATCACGCCACTCATTTATTTTTTTATTTTCATTATTTCTTTACTTAATTTATTTTGCGGGCTGGAGATTGAACCCATGGCCTTTACACTTAAGTACATCCCTAGTCCCTTTTAAAAATTTATTTTTATTGTGAAACAGAGTCTCACTAAGGCACTAAATTGCCTAGGCTGGGCTCAAACTTGCCTCAGCCTCCCAGTATGTTGGGATTACGTGTATCACCACAACCCACTTGTGACTTCTGTTTAAGAAGAGGCCCTTGGCAGCCATGCGTGGTGGCACACACCTGTAATCCCAGCTCTTGAGAGGCTGAGGCAGGAAGATCATTGGGAGTTCCAGGCCACTCTGGACTACATAGTGAGTTCAAGGGCAGCCTGAACTACACATTGAGACTGTCTCAAAAAAAAAAAAAAAAAGCCAGGGGCCGGGGATTTAGCTCAGTGCTTTTGCCGCCTGCTGCGCAAGCGCAAGGACCTGAGTTTGATCCCCAGTACCAAAAAAAAAAAAAAAAAGAGCCCCTGGGTTCAATCCCCAGCACCTCCAGTACTGCAGTGTACAAACAAACAAACAAACCCTTCCAATGGAAATTAGAATCATGATGTATTGTTGGTGAGAATGTGACATAATGCAACTACACTAGAAAATAGGCTAGCAGTTCCTCGAAGGTTCAACATAGTTACCATGTGACCCTGCAGTTGCATTCCCAGATGTATACTCAGAGAAATGGGAACACAGGGTTCCAGGAAGCCTTATACACCTCTGGCCAAAGCAGCCAATAATTCATAACAGCCCAAAACAGGAACAACCCATGTACCCACCAACTGATGAGTGAATAAACGAAATGTGATCTTTCCATACAGTGGGATATTATTCAGCCATAAAAAGAAATTAAGTACTGATACATGCTGAAACACGAGTGAACTTTCAGCCAAGAGTGGCAGCACATGCTGGTAAATCTCAGCACTCTGGGAAGCTGAGGCAGGAGGACTGCAGTTCAAGTCCTGCCTGGGGAATTTAGTGAGACCCTGCTTCAAAATAAAAACACAAAGTGTTAAAAAAAAAAAAATGTTGAGGATGTGGCTCAGTGCAAAGGTTCTAGGTTCAATCCCCAGTGCTCCAAAAGTAAACAAAGGGGAGGAGTGGACTTTGAAAACATTACACTAGGGCTGGGGATTTAGCTCAGTGGTTTCGCCGCCTGCTGCGCAAGCGCAAGAACCTGAGTTCGATCCCCGGTACCAAAAAAAAAAAAGGAAAAAAAGAAAACATTACACTAAATGAAAAAAGCCAGCACAACAGACCGTATTGTCTGAATCCACTTATATGAAATGTTTACAAAAGACAAATCTACGAGTCCAAAGGTAGATTAGTGGTTGCCTAGGGCTGGAGTTGGGGACAGAAGGAAATGGAGGGGTTGGGTAAGAGGATCAAGGGTTTGGGGAGGATGGTGAAAATACTCTAAGATTGATTTTGATGGTAGCTGCACAACATACCAAATAGCTACAAACCTTTGAATTGTTCACTTTAAAAGGGTGGCATATTTATGTGCTTTCTATATCAATAAAATTTAAAAACAAAACCAACAAAACCTCCAGTGGTTTCTGAGCACAGAAGAGCAGAATTCAAAGTCACTAACAGCCTACAAGAGGAATCGGCCCCTACTTACCTCCTGCCCTAGGTCACTTCTCTAATGTACCTTTATCCATGAGAGACACCTGGAGCCTGCTCAGCCTGCCTCAGGACCTTTGCACCTGCTGTTCCTTCTGCCAGAAAAGGAATGCCATTTCCCCAGCCCTTCACATGGCCAGGGCCCTCTCATTATATACATTTCCATTAAACTTACCTTCTCAGAGAGGACTTTCCTGACTGTTCCTTGTAAAGTCGCCCTGGGCTGCATTTTATTTTATTTTATTTATTTTCTGAGGCTGGGCCTTGCCATGTAGTCAGGCTGCTCTTGAACTCACTATGTATCCCAGTCCAGCCCATTTGATTGCTTGAATTTGGACCAGTCCTCCTGCCTCAGCCTCCTGAGTGTTTGGAATTATAGGCATGTATCACTACACTTGGCTTTACATTTAACTTTTTTTTTGTTTGGTACCAGGGATCAAACTCTGATCCTTGTGCTTGCGAGGCAGGCAGCAGAACCACTGAGCTAAATCCCCGGCCCCTACACCTAACTTTTGTGTGGCACAATCTCTCTCTCTGTGCCTCTCTCTCTCTCTCATCTGGCCCCCTATCCCCACCTTGCATGCAGCTCTCGTGCGCACCTGGCCTGGCTTTCCTTTCGTCCCATGGCTGCTGCAAGGTAGGGGCTTGGACAACGTGTTTGGGGCTGGCCGGAAGCCGGGGGTCCCCCTCACCTCCAGCATGTCGATGCTCTCCTTCACCCGGATCTTGGCCGATTTGAGATTCTCCCGAAGCTGCTTGTAGTACGTGGAAGGAACAGCCAAGAACTCCACTCCTCGCTCTCGCAAGTGGCGAATCTGGTGGAGCAGGGCTGAGGTTGGCTGCTGGTCCACACTAGGGGGCCCCGCCCCGTGGTGCTACTGGGCTACCTGGCTGGAATGGATAACGGCTTCCTCCTCGCTTCCCCATTTCCCTGCTTTATTTTTGCCCAGAGCACTCAGCATCATCTGTTTACTCTACTTATTCTGCTTATCATCTCCGTAAGGGCAGAAGCCACTTGTTACCAATGTAGCCCACATTTCCTAAAATAGTGCCTGCCACATAGTAGGTGCTGAGTAAACAACTAGGAGCGAATGAATACCTGAGGCTGTCAAGGTCGTCCAGTGAGCTCTTGGCTGGGCCAGGATGGAACAGGACAGTTAGGTCTCAGTCTCCCTGAGCCCTGGACCCACAGACCCAGGGTGTTTCACTTGGCCAAAAGGAGATAACTGACCTTTCAATCTAATATCCTCATCCGCAAAGTAAGGCAACCGATGCTCAGAGAGGGCACTGAGCCACGAAAGACACACAGCAGGCACAGGACCACGGCCCTTCCTCGTGGCCACCTGCCACCTCCAGAGCCCAGTGAGTCTGCAGAGGCCGCACAGGAGTGGCAGGAACCAGGAAGGGAGCCCTGCCGGCCTCTAGGCCCTGCCCGTCCCTCCTGTCCATTGGCAGTTGTCCCGGGACGCAGGAGCAGGAGGGAGCCGCTCACCGAGGTGATGATGTCCGGGGTCTTCAGAGCGATGTGCTGCACGCCGGCACCCCCGTTGTACTCCACGTACTCCTAGGAGGGGAGCAAGGGGGCCACTGTCCCGGGCTCTGTCACCCCGGCCCGGCCCTGGACGCAGCCTCCAGCCCCTTCCTCCCCACCTGGATCTGTGATTTCTTCCTGCCCAGCGCCGGCTCGTTGATGGGCATCTTGATGGACTCCTCGTAGTTGGTGACCACAATGGAGCGCAGGGCACTGTACTCCGTGTGCACCTGCGAGTCATCCACGGACCAGAAGCGGTGGAACTGCAGGTTCCTCAGGTACCTGTGAGCGGCCGGCAGGACCTGTCATGCTGAGTGCCAGGCTGGGAGGGGCCCCCCTCCATTTCTACCTTCCAGGAGATGTCCCTGACAGGGCCCAGAGGGGGGACTGCGACCCCATCGTACACATCATAGATTTGTCCCTTATCCTGACAAGCGTCCTCTGAGTGTGTTGTAATAAAGTACATTTTCTTGTTTTGTTTTGTTGTATTTTGAGACTAGGTCTCACTAGGTGGCTCAGGCTGGCCTTGTGCTCTCTATGTAGCCCAGGCCAGGGCTTGAACTCTTGGTGATCCTCCTCCCTCAGTCTCCCCAGTGCTGGGATTACAGGCGTGCACCACCACACCCTGTCTGCTCTGGTCTTCTCGGTGGAGCTTTACAGTGAATGAATGACTCCGTAGGCTCGGGTTAGCCTCCTCCTGTCTCACTCTGCTTCCCACCTTAGCGCCAGAAGTGGCTTGGGTCTGCACCCTCTGATGTGGAGAGCCAGGGCTCACCATTCCGACGCAGACACCATCTCCTGGTCGGGCTGGTTCCCCACAATGTGGTCAATCGTCTCCAGGCCACAGCTGGGGCTGGAAAAGGGAAGGAGTTGGGGTGAGAGGACTGCCCCCCGTCTCCGCCTGCGCACTGGCCCCTCAATAATATCGGCTCGTGCTTAGCTGGCTCTTCCCATGGGTCGGCACTTTATTTTGTGAATTCATATGCTATTGAGACCCCATTTTGCAAATGACAAAACTGAGGCATAGGAAACGAGGTGACCCGCCAAGGTCGCATGGCTATGAAGTGACAGAGGCGGTATTTGAACCCAGGCAGCCTGGTGGCGGAGGCCCAGTCCCCAGGGAGGAGAAGGGCCCTGGCTTTCCCGCCCCACTCACAGCTTGGAAAGTAGAGAGTCCTTGACTCTGGGGGCCTCGAATCCGGGCAGGAAGCTGCCGGAGAAGCTCATCTTCTCCACCAGGGTGTGAGTGGTGTCCCCGTACTGTGGGCGGGAAGCAGCCGGCTCAGCCCCACCCACACAGCCCAGCTTCTGGCGGAGTCCGACCCCCCCAGCTCCGCACGCACGCACGGGATCCAGGGCGCCTGACTCCCTGCCTGCCCCGGGGGAGGGGCTCCCCGCAGCCCCTGCTGTCGCCGCCCTGGGGGGGAAGGCCCAGCGCGAGTGGCTGGTGGCTGCCGTGGGCCCCTGCGCCCTGCACGGGCGCGATCGTGGGGTGCGTTCGGAGTCCTGCGTCTCCGTGGGTTCTGACGGCACCCCAAGGCCAACTCACCGTCTGCAGCACAGCGAGCTTCACCTTCCCGAACTTGTCCTCCTCTACCCATGGCTCCCGCACGACCTTGGCGCCCCGTTCCCGCGCTTTCTGCAGGGGACACCGGGTGGCGGAGCCATGAGGGCCGTGGCCCCCGGAGCCCTGCTGCTGCTCCTGCTGGGCGGCCTTCGGTGGCCCTGACTCAATAGGGGACCCCAGCCAGCTTCAGCCATTAACCCCCCCCACCACACCTATGCCTCTGGCCCATTGGGCAGGTAGGGAAACTGAGGCCCAGGCTCAGAGTTGGGGCGAAGGGAGACACATGGGAAGTGAGGGTACCCTGCCTCTCATAATTCCCTCCGTAGCCCTGCCCCCTTTCCAGGCCTCAGTTTCTCTCTCTAAAAAGAGTGGGTGGGCCAATTGTACAATGCCTGTCATCCCAGCTACTTGGGAGGCTGAGGCAGGAGGATCACAAATTCGAAGCCAGCCTTGTCAATTTAGTGAGACCTTGTCTCAAAATAAAAAGGGCTGGGGATTTAGCTCAGTGATACAGCACCCCTGGGCTCAGTCCCTGGTACCAGGGGAAAAAAAAGTTTGGATAAGAACACAAGCTGATTTTTTTTTTTTTTTTTTGAGATAGGGTCTTGCTATGTAGTTCAAGCTGGCCTCGAACTCATGATGAGCCTCCTGCCTTAGCCTCCTGAGTGCTGGGATTACTGGTGTGTCCCAGCACACCTGGCCTCCCTAAATCCCCTTAAGTGCCATGTTGGGTTCAGCATCGAGCTCCAGAAATGCTAAGTGTGATCTATTTCCTCTTGTAATGACTCAGTGAGGCAGGTGCTGTGATTCTCTGTTTTACAGAAGTGGGTGGAAACAGGCTCAAAATGAGGACACACAGTTAGCATGGGGCTGGCCAGCTGTCCCTGAACCGGCCGGAGATGCTGTCACCTGCACGATGTAGTCACAGTCCTCCACCTCGAAGGCGATGTCCTTCACACTGTCCCCGTGCTTCACCAGGTGCTCACCCATCTCTGTGAACAGCAGAGGAAATGACACGGGGCCTCTGGGCCAGGCTCCCTCCCAGGCCCGCATCGGCACCCTGCCCCTCACCTCTGTTCCAGGGATTCAGTGGCGAGGAGAGGACAAACACAATCTAAAACAGAAGAGAAGGGCTCAGGCCCAGGCAGGGTGCAGCCCACCCCAGAGCACCCTGAGACCCTGTAGAACAGAAGGACCCAACCTTATGGGAGTCCTGGATCACAGGGTGCAGCTCTCCCTGCCTCAGGGTCCCCCCTGGTCCTGAGGCCCAGGGGCCATCCAGTGCCAGCCCCGCCTGGGGCCTGAAGACCAGAGATCCCAAACCTCTGTATGGCCAGCCCTGGGCCAGGCTGAGAAGGAGGCTGAACCAGGAAGGTCTTTGATGCAAGACTGCACAAAGGTACCTGGAAGACCAGCCAGTGGGGCTGAACCACATGTGCATCCTGGAACCAGCCAGACTGTGCGTTGTTTTTTTTTTTTTAAATACTGGGGATTGAACCCAGGACCTTGGCACTGAGCTACATCACTACTCTTTTATATTTTGAGACAGTGTCGTGCTAATTCGTCCAGTCTGGGCTAAGATGTAACCTCGGTTGCAGCTTCCCAGAGTGCAGGGATTACAGGGGTGCACCACTGTGCATTTTGATTTAAAAAAATTTTTTTTCTTTTGAGACAAGGTCTCGCTATGCAGCCCAGGCTGGCCTCGAACTTGCAGCAATCCTCCTGCCTCAGCCTCCCGGGTGTTGGGATCACAGGCGTGTGCCACCACTCTGGGCCAACTGAGCATTTTGAAGCAGATGTGCACCACGTGAAGGCGTGGGTCCAAGGGGGCACGGACGGTACCCACCTGGCCCTGCTTGATCACGTGGCTCGCCACCTCCCGCGAGCCGGTCTCCAGGCCCCTGTAAGCCAGTGGCTCGAAGCCCATCTTGCTGCAGTAGAAGGCGGCGGCCTGAAGGACGGGGGCGGTGGGGCTTCTGAGGGTGGAGCCCTTCCTGGGAGTTCCCAGGAGAGAGCTCCGCCCCAGGTGCCCAGACCCTGAAGGAAGAGGCTGCTCTCCGCCTTCCCAGGAGTTTCTAGCCAGGATCCACTGGATTGCGATTGCTCAATGAGGACCCGGCTCCCACATGGCTGCCCCGCCCCTCCCGGGAGCCAATCCCTGTCGCCCGGCCGCACTCTACCCACGAGACACGCGACCCGCGCCCCTGCTACCTGCTTGGCGTTGCCCACCCAGAAGGTCACGGAGTGGAAGTGGAGGAACCGACCTCTCTCGGGCTGCCGGAAGAGACAAGAGGCAGAGCCGGAACCCCGGAAGTGGAGAGGGGTCCTCTGCCACCAGGACCTGAACCCCATCTTGGCTGGCCTCATAAAATGCACCTCATGTGGAAAGCAAGCTCTAGGGGATCAGGATGCGGAGGCCCCCTCAAAAGGCCTGTCCAGTTTTCAGGAAGGAAACAGCTTTGCGTTGGAGTAGCGTGAATTTTTTTTTGTTTGAAACAGGGTCTCATTATGAAGCCCAGGCTGCTGTGGAACTCGTGGAGATCCTCCTGCCTCAGTCTCCTAAATGCTGGGATTACAGACATGTGCCACCATCCCCGGCTAGAGCAGCATGCATTTAAGGTAGACTTTAACAAGAACTTCCAGACAGGATCAAGAGATTGGCAGGGATTTAAGAAGTCGGTTTTACAGTAGGTGAGGCTGAGCGTCCAGCTGGGGGGGAGGAGGGGGAGCCCAGGATCAGTTCGAGCATGTGCACGCATGGACATCAGGTGCCACTGTCCGTCCAGTGCCCAATCCTCTTGTGCTCTGGGTGCCATCCTGGTCTCTGTCTCCCAACTCCCTGTAGACCTGGCCCCCCGCGTTCCCCTCCTGCTTACCTTTGCTCCTTTGTCGCTGTAAGTAGTCTAGAGAGAGAGAGAGACAGTGAGACTGGGTGCTCCAACCCCAGGCCCGGGAGGTCTCCCAGGGAGGCCCTTACCATGGTCAGTCTTGGTCACGCCTCGCACCGGACTGTGACAGGAGGCCCGGGCGCTGCTGGACAGAACTGTTTACCTCCTGGCCTCTGGGGGGCGGGGGCGGGAGCTCACCCAGGCCCTGCCTAGTGGCTGCAGAGCCCAGGGCATGCTGCCAGGCCCAGGGAGAGATGGTGCTTGTCCTAGTCCACTGCCAGTCGGGGCAGAACCCCCAAGGACAGGAAGCCAAGTCCAGGACCCAGGTGAGGACTGTGATCTTCACTGTCAGATCCAAAGCTCAAAGGCCTCAGCCCGCCTGGGTGTGGGATGGGGGTAACCTCAGCGTTGCCAGTTGGGGGGACTCAGGAGACAACTGGGGCCTGGTCTTAAAGCTCTGCTTGCAAAGTACAGGGCTTTGCAGTCTGACTCTGGTGCTGACTGTGAGCCCAAGGAAAGTCACCGACCCCCAGCACCAACCCCAGCCTCAGTTTCCCCGTCTGTAAAATGGGAAAAATAATAGCATGATGGACTGTTCTGTGAGCTAAAGCTTGGAATGGCACATGATGTAGAGTCCATTCACTTTTATGATTTGTTGTTTCTTTGGGATTTGAAGGGGGCTGATGGAGACTGGTGGCCTTCGGGGGCATGGCCCTAGCTGAGAACTGGAATGGGGGATGTGCTCTTGGCCCTGCCCAGGACCCAGTGCCCCTGAGCACTGGGAAGGTAGAGCAGATGGCTCCAGGGAGCAGAAGGCCCAGGGCTGCCCCCCAGTACCCCCACCTGAGCCTCGGGTCTTGCTTCCCAGAAGATGGGGTGTGACCGCTGGCATTCAGCAGAGGGCTCCAGGACACCCCCTGGACCTGCTGCACACCTGTCCCTAGAAACTTGTCACTGCTTTGACAGTGGAAACTTTGGCCAGCAGCAGGGTTGGGGGGGTGACCTTTCCCAGGCAGTGTAGTTGGCAAGTGGCAGAGTAGAACTGGATTGGGAACCAGGTTATTCCAACCCCAGGACTCACACTTTAAATTGCTGTGTGGTTCTCTATTCAAACAGGAGTTACTGATGTCCCTGCCTGAAAGATGGGGAAACAGACCCAGAGCGGCAAACACGTGGGGGTCACAGAGCTGGTGAGACTAGAGATCCAAACTCCACCTATTAGTTTTTGGGTTTTTCTTTTTCTTTTTCTTTTGAGACAGGCTGTCACTATGTAGTTCAGGCTGGCCTTGAACTCACTATGTAGCCCAGGCTGGACTCAAACTCGAAATGATCCTCCTGCCACAGCCTCCCGAGTGCTGGGATAAAAGTGTACACCACCACAATCGGCTTCTACCTATTAGGTGCTGAAGCTGCTCCTCATCCACCCATCCAGCCATCTCCCTTTTCCTGATTTTCTGGACAATTCAGGAGGCGGGTGTGGTCCTTATTCTGCCCATCCTGGGGGTCTGGCAGACTTCTCTCCACGTCCACTTCAGCTCCCCAAGTCAGTTTCCACCCAAGAAAGTGGGGCGGGGCTTACAGGTCCAAAAGCCTCCAGTGATGGAGAAGAGTTTAGTGCCACCCGCCGTCACCTCCCCAGGTGCACGGGGACAGCTTGTTCCTTGCTCACTCTGACCTATTTGCCCCACTCTTGGAGCCTGGCCTGCACACAGGTCAGGGTTCACCAAGCCAGGGACGGAAGGCAGGGGTGGCACCAGCGCTCTGCCGGGCATTGGTGTGACTTTGTCCCCCGCCCCTCTGGACTTTTCCTGCTCTGTGTGACCCGTGGTGGGAAGAGCTGGAAGCACTTGCCTGGTTTCTTCTAGAAACTGACTCCTTTGCTGATTTTGCTCTGTGTACTTTTGCTGTAATAAATCAGTCTCAGTGTGGGTGACAGCTGGGTCTTGTGAGTCCTCCTAGCAAATCAGCAAACCTGGGGGTGGTCGTGGGGACTCCTGAGGCAGCAGGGGTGGGAGTCCTCAGATAGACCCTGACTCACTGAAATATGGTGAAGGCATTGTTGGGGAAAGAAAGGACAAAGAGGGTGGAAATGCCTCTCCTGAGTCATGAGTATGAGATTCCCGGCTGAGTGAGTGTTAGCCATCTCCTTCCTTCATTCCACTCCTGCTGGGAGCGGGCAGCTCTGGCCTGAGCCCTGCCTGGCTTCACAGATCCCAGTGCCCCAGGACCTCGGCAGATCTGAGTGGCTGAAGGGCTCCTGCGCAGGTGGGACACCTGCTTTTTGCTCTTTATTTCTTTTGCTGATCCCTCCTAAAATGTGCTTCCTGTCTAATGCAGCCAGCTAGGGAGGGCACATTAAAGGCACTGCGTTTCTCCCACCTGCTCCTGACAGATCAGACTCTCAGCTGTGCCTGGGGGTCTCACTGCTGCTCGAGGTTCCTGCTCAGTAGCGGTTTGCAGCAGTGCACTGATGGCCCAATCTGCACCCTTTGCCTGGTTCTGGTGCACACAGCTCAACACACTCCTTTCCATGCCGGCTGTCACTGTCTTTTTTTAAAGGCTGCTCAGGTCTCCAGCCGACTGGGTGCCTGTGGATTCTGTGTCCTGGCTGCACCACCCACCAACACCAAGCCCACTCTATGTTTTGTTTCCCCTCAGCACCAGGCAGCAGAGGTGAGGACCAACTGACCAATGTAATCGTAGATTGGCAGCTCCGGGGAGAAACTGTGGGCCGGGCTAGCAGTGCTAGCCCCAAGAAAAGCCCCCCACTGTTGTAAACTACAAAAACAATGTGAGGTTTTACTCCGAAAGTGACTTCTTCATAGCAGGCTAGTATCGGAGATGAAACCCAGTGGGTCACCTGGCCTATTCCCAGAGAAGGTTTAACAAGACACCATTTGGGGAAGGTGTTAATTGTTTAAGGCTGAGCCACAGAACTAAAGAGGAACTCTACTTCAGCGATTCCAGGCTTACCTGCCCACAGTGACTGGGTGAGATATAGCCATGGGAGACAGCTGCAGAGAGGGTGTGGGCTACACAGAGACCCCTGTGAAGTTTAAATTCAGACTGGGAATAAGGCAGGTGTGGTGATACACACCTCTGATCCCAGCACTGGGGAGGCTGAGGCAGGATTCCCATGAGTTCAAGGCCAGCCTGGGTTACATAGTGAATTCAAGGCCAGCCTGGAATACCTAGTAAGACCCTGTCTTAAAAAGCAAACAAAACAAAACAAAACAAAAACCCCAGGCCTGAAAGGACATGGGTGAGAAACCAGACCCGACCAACGTGGATTTCATAGGTGACTGGATCTGAAGATGTTGCCAGTAAGTCCAGCAGTCTGCCTGAACTGCCAATCTGCTGCCTGTGTCCAGCAGAGACCAATGGTCTGATTGCTTTCCATATCTGCCAACGAGCAAGGGCTGGGATTGGATGGTTGCCATGGTCTGGTGTGCATGGACAGAGGGGTCTCTGGGGGAGGGCACCTCACAATCCCACAGGCCATAACACTAGGTGGAGAAAATCGTGACTTGCTGGATTCTAAGACTGTCCACTGTCACCTCTGCTGTTTGATATAGTATTTGAAGCATTAGCCAGAGTAGTCAGGTGAAAGAAATAAATAAAATAAATATGTAAGGAAAGGAAGAAGTCAAATTATCATTATCTGCAGATGATATGACCCTCTACATAGAAGATCCAAAAAAAATTCCTCTAAAGATTCCTAGAATTAATAACCAAATTCAGCAATGTAGCAGGATTCAAAATCAACACACAAAAACACATAGCATTCCTCTACACCAATAATAAACTCACTGAGAAAGAAATTAGGAAAGCAATACCATTTGTGAATAAAATACCTAGGAATTAACCTAATCAAGGAAGTGCAAGAGCTCTACAACAAAAACTACAGTACTCTGAAAAAGGGGATTGAAGAGGACATCAGAAAATGGAAAGGTTCCCCCTGTTCCTGGATAGGCAGAACCAATAGTGTCAAAATAGCCATACTTCCAAAACTGAGACTCTATGGTTCCTCGCCAACACCAAAAGTAAAACAAAAGGCCAGGGTGAGAGGAGGTAAAAAAATATGTTTTAATTGTTGTGTTAAATTACTAAGTCTTTTCTGTTTATTTCTTGCTTTGAGAGGAGGTCTTGCTGTTACCCAGGTTGATCTCAAACTTGAGATCCTCCTGCCTCTGTCTCCTGAGTAGCTGGAATCATAGGCATGTACCACTGTGCCTGGTTAAAACGTACAGTTGTAATTACTGAATGTCTGTCAGCTTTCTATCACTAGAACAAACACCTGAGATTTTCTACTTTTTTGGAGAACAATTGATGAAATCATATATATATATAAGGTACAAAACATACATACACATATATTTCAGTACTGGGGATCAAAGCCTTTGCACTGAGCTATATCCTCAGCCCTTTTAATTTTTTTAAAATTTTGAGACAGGGCCTTGCTAAGTCATCAAGTTGCCCAGGTGGGCTTAAATTTGTGATCCTCCTGGCTCAGCCTCCCAGAGTGCTGAGATTACAGGGATGCACCATCAAGCCTGGCTAATGCACGCGCGCGCACACACACACACGCGCACACATAAACACACACACACACATGGTTTTTTTATAACAAAGAAGGGCAAAATCTCAGAATGTGGGATGGTCAGGAGAGAAGGGCACATTCATAGTCTTGATTTTCCAGAGCTGTTCCCGACAACTTCCTCTTCTCCCTGAAAACTCCCCTTACCCCTTTGTAGGCTGGGCCAAGCTTTGAACTCAGAATCTAGGGCCCCCTGGTCGGGGGGGACAAAGATCTATAACCCTCGGGCCTCCTGCAAGCATGCATCTGGCTTCTTTGGGCTTCGGCGAGCCCTTGGGCAGGAGGCCCCTCAGCAGGTGCTGCCCCAGTGGCTCCAGCACCCTGCCTGCCCAGTGCCTGTCCTGCATGGGGTGCCCTGGTTTGCAGACCGCGAGTCCAGGGACAATGTGCGTGTCCTCTGGGCTCCTAACTGTTGTGGGTGCATCCTGGCTGTCCTGGCACTGCCACCATCCCGGGAGGCCCTCTGGTCAGCTTCGCCTTGAGTCCTATGGACACTTCCCGAAAGCCCCAGTTCTCTCTCTAAGATAAACCTGCTGGTGAATGGAGCTCCCTGGAGGCCTGACTGAGGCGGGTGCTGCCTCAGTCTCGCCTTGCCACGGTGCATCCTTCTGAGACCCACTGTGTGCTACGCTCTCGGTAGGGGCAGGGCAGAGCATGCAGAATCCAGCAGCTGGGAGATAGGCCGGCCTGAGGTCGGCACTGGCCACCTGGACAGGGGAGAGTCCCTGCCACCTCTGGTAAGAGTGGTGCTGCTACGCAGGACGTCCACACAGCACTGACTTCCTGAGTCAGGAATGTTGGTGTAAACCTGGCAGACCCCTCATCACGTGCACAAATGATAATCCCCACATGGATCCCACCCGCACGGACAAGGCAGTTCATTAGCCTTTGTTCACCTTCTGTTAGAAACCTAAATGTCCAGCCCGGTGTGGTGGTGCACACCTGTAATCCCAGCTCTCAGGAGGCTGAGGCAGGAGGATTGCTGAGTTCAAAGCCAGGCTGGTCTACATAGTGAGTTCAAGAGACCCTGTCTCAAAAAAACAAAGAAAGAAACCTGATATCCATCAGCAGGAGATTGGTTAAATATAAGGAAATGTTAAATAACCATTGTATCAGTCGGCTTTTTGTTGCTGTGACCGTTTACCTGAGGAAAATGACTTAAAGGAAGAAAGGTTCATTTGGGCTCACAGTTGAGAGGGTTCAGTCCATGGTCACCTGGCTCCTTTACTCTTAGGCTTGTGGTGAGGCAGAAACATTATGGTGGAAGGGAATGGGGAGGAAAGTTGCTCATCTCACAGCAGCCAGGAAGGAGAGAGAGAGATCCAGAGAGGAGGCCAGGTTCCTATGATCACAGCCCATAATCTACTCCCTTAAATGGGCCCCACACCCTAAGTGTCCACCATTTCCCAATAATGGCATTGAATTATGATCTTGTCAGTAGATCAATTCATTGATGGATTAAAAATTTTTTAATTTTTAAGTTAAGTTTATTGTTACATTTTAGGTATACAATACAGTTACATTCATCATTGGGCTCTTGTACCTCTACATGATGTATCTTAGTTCTTATTTAGTCCCCATTCCCCTGCCCTCTCTTCACCCCCTCCCCCCTTTATTTTTTGTTTTTTGAGACAAGGTCTCGCTCTATAGTTCAGGTTGGGCTTGAATTCACTACGGAGCCCAAGCTGGCCTCGAACTCCCAGCGATCCCCCTGCCTCATCCCTCAGAGTGCTGGCGTGCACAACCATGCCAAGCTCCATGAATACATAAGACTTTTGAAGGACATTTTGGATGTAAACTATAAAAACCACTCAAAAAGAAGGAAGAGGGCTGGGTTGTAGCCCCGGAAGAATGCTTGTCTAGCACACATGAGCCCCTGGATGAGATTTTCCCCAGCACCAGGAAAGATAAAAACGAAGCTTTCATGAAAGGGACAAGGAAGAGCTTCAAGATACATTAAGTTAAAAAAAGTCACGGAACAGTGTACATGACAAGCTACCATTTGTGTACAAAAACCAAAAACCAAAAACACTGTTCACAAGTGGTTTTAATTTTGTTTTGTTGTTGATTCTAATTCTCTACAGTGCAGAACATGCCCAAGACTCCTGATGCCTGGACAGAGACTAAGTGAAGAGAAGCCACCCCAGGCTGGCTGTGTGGAGTCCAGCTCCTCCAGCAGCCCAGGCATGGGGACCCAGGTTTATTTCCTCCCTAGCACATGGAGTTACCCTTCCTGGTTCGGCAGCGGGTCAGATTACATGATTTTCATCATCATTTACATGATTTACAATTTTGTAAATACGGTGTCACCCGGGTCATGTTGATTGAGGCATCAT